ATTCCCCAGCCAGCATGGCTGGGGAATTCTGGGAGTTGAAGTCCGCTCATCTTAAAGTGGCCAAGTTTGGACAACACTGGTCTATACCTACAGAGATCAGAATCGCACAAGCCATGGTATTCCCTATGACCCTCCATGGAAGTGAAAGTTGGACTTTGAAGAAGCAGGATAGGAAGCGTATTGATGCTTTTGAACGTTGGTGTTGGAGAAGACTCCTGAGAATATTGTGGACAGCTTAAGAAAGCAAATTGATGGATCATCCAACAAATCAACCCAGAATTCTCACTCAAGGCACAAATGACCAGGCTCAAATGATCCTACTTAGGACACGTTATGCGAAGACCAGCTCTCTGGAGAAGGCTCTGGTGCTGGGAAAGGTGGAAGGAAGGAGAAGAAGAAGAGGACCAGCAGTGGGGTGGATGGACTCAGATACAGCAGTGATGGGTGCACCATTGGAAGACCTGAAGGACCAGGTTGGAGATAGATCATCATGGAGAAAATCTATGTATTTGGTCACTAGGAGTCAAAAACAACTTGATGGCGCATAATCAAGCAATCACTCTCTCTCCTGGCCAGATCTCCCTCGCAGGGTTGTTGTGATGAAATTGGAAGAGCAAGCTCTGGGTGTATTACCACCTGGGAGAATGGTGAGGATATCAATTTAAAGGAAAGAAATACATGCAGCTTTAATGAATTATAATTTGGAAAGGGAGGGGGGGAGGTTTACAGCCCTGCCTTTTTTCTTGATGAATGCATTCCTTGGAGCAGGGGCTGGGTGAGATCAGCCGGTTTCTTAAAAAAAAGAGAGAAGCTCAAGCCACAGAATTGTTCTCCATCCACTTGGCAGAAACGCTGCCCCTCTTGCGTCATAGAATGTGCTTCGGAAACGGGCATCTGAGGCTTCCTCCCCTCTGAACAGCACCAGCGCAGGGCCACCTTCACCAAAAAGCAATTCAAGGGTGGGGGCAATGCAGATAATTAAAAGATAATTCAAGGGTGGGGGAAATGCATAAAATTGCAGCTGCGAATTGCAAGGATGGAACATCAAAGAAGCCACGTGATTTACAGATTTCCCCCCGCCCATTCCTTCCGAACGCGGCTGCAAGCCCCGCCTCCGCGACCACGCCCCTTAATTCCACGTCCTCCGCTGCCTCGAGGCCCCGCCCACCGGGCTGCGGCACCCTCCGCTCGCGCCCGTCCTCTCGGGTGATGTAGGCTCCCCCCACCAATCCGTAAGCCCCACCCCGCAGGCGCCCCGCCCCTCCCCGTGGCTGACCAATCGCAGAGCGCGGGCCCAGCCCACTCCCCCGCCGTGGCAGGGGCGGGCGACGGCGCGTGCGCGGTCGATAGGGCTAAGCCCCGCCCCGCTCCTCTCAGCCGCTTCTCAGAGGGCGGCTGGCGGGGTTGCGCGTCGGCCGCGGGTGGCGGGTTCC